AATCAACGGAATGCGTAAACGAACCCCTGTGGACGGTCGTGGGAAATCACTACGTGAAAAGAGACGATGGAAAAACATCATCGTGCGATACATTTAAAAAAGATTTTTTAGAAGAAAGAATTTTCCGAGAGGTACGTAAAGCGTCAAAAAAATTTTTTTCTCACGTCAGTGACGTCACCATCATAATCGCCATTTTTTTTTTTAATTTCCGTTTAGGAATACTATGATATTTTGGCGGGAATAAAAACAAATTTGGATTTTTTCGAAATAAATAAAATATTAGATCAAATGGTTAAAATTTTAAAATCTTTTCAATATTCATTAACGGACGAATTGATGTGCACCGGATGTTCGGCCGGTAATAATAATAATAATTTATCGATTTATTTTTTCTCACTCTCGAAAATGATCGATTTATCGATTTATCGATTTTTTTTAAAGCCGTCAATACTTATCGAATGCTATCTGGTAAAGCTATGAAACCGGATGATATCTTATCGTTATTTAATAAAATTTGCGTTGATTTGAATATAATGACACCGAAAGTTTGTAACGGAACTTTAGAATCCTACGGAGTGAGTATTTTATTCCCTCGTTCGATTATTCATTTTAAATTATTATTATTATTATTATTAATATATGTTAATTGCATTTAGCGAACCCTAACGACGATCGTTGACAAAACAAATAAAACATCTAATCACGTGTGTCAATTTTTACTCAATTACAAATGCGGAAATGAAAATTTTCCAGAGTCACAATGGAACGTTACGCTACCGCCAACGAAAAAACCTCCTTTAATGAAACCATCTCCGGTTCCGGTAAGTTTTTCTTTTGTTGTCGTTGAGAAAATTCGAGAAAAAAATTCATTAAAATTTTCTTTCATTTAAAAAAAAAAAAAAAAAAAGGATTCGGTTAAGAAATTAAAAGTTTTACATTTGACCGACACTCATTGGGATACGAAATACGAAGAAGGAACTTGGGCCGAATGTAGACTTCCGCTTTGCTGTAGAAAAGAAAACGTACTTCCGGATGGTAAAGCGACAAAAGCTGGAAAATACGGCGGATGGAAATGCGATATACCGGAAGAAACGTTCGATGATATGTTAAGACACGTCGTCAAACAACATCCGGTACATTAAAATATTTTTTCCCGCCTTTTTTTTTTGAAATTTTTTTTTTCTAAATTTTTAAATTCGTTTAGGATTTGGATTACGTTTTATGGACGGGTGATATACCACCTCACGATATTTGGGATCAAGGAAAAGACGACAACGTGCAAATGTTAAAAAAAACGGTTGCAAAATTAAAATCAGCTTTTCCGAAAACTCCCATTTATCCAGCATTGGGAAATCACGAATCCGTACCCCCCAATATGCAAGTAAATTAAAAATTCCCTTCGATTAAAAAAAGAAAAAAAACCGTTTCCGTTTAAAAAAAAAAAAAAAAAACGTTTCTTTTTTCGATTTCAGGTTTCCCGTACCTGATAAAAACGCTTTGGAAAATCCAATGGATTGGTTATATAAAGAACTAAGCATCGAATGGGAAGCTTGGCTTCCGGAAAATTCAACGGAAACCGTACGAAAAGGTGCATTTTACACGGCACTCGTTCGTCCCGGCCTCAGATTGGTATCCATGAACATGAATTATTGTTATAGTTTCAATTGGTAAATATTTTCTCTCTCTCTCTCTCTCTCACTCTTTCCGCCATTTTTGTTATTATTATTAATATTTTGTTTACCTTTGTTTTCGCCTGATTATTATCTGGCACAGGCACGATCGAAATATTCATTTTTTTTTCCTCTTTTCATTTTTTTTAGGTGGCTTTTGTTAAACAATGTCGATCCATTGAACGAATTACACTGGCTTGCAACTCTTCTCCAAGAATCTGAAAATAAAAAAGAAAGCGTTCACATAATTGGTCACGTTCCTCCCGGAAACAAAGATTGTTTGAAAATGTGGCAAACTAATTATTATAAAATAATAAGCAGGTTAATAGAGATATAAATTAAACCCATGAGACGTTTTCCGGTTAGAAATAATAATAATAATAATGATTTTCGAACGTTCAGGTACGAAGACACGGTGACCGGTCAATTTTTCGGACACACTCATTACGATAAATTTGAATTGTATTACGATGTTGCCGATTCTAAACGACCCGTCGGCGTCGGTTACGTGGCACCAAGTTTGACTACTTACACGTATTTAAATCCCACGTATAGAATTTACCACATCGAAGGAGACGCGAAAGGAAGCAGAAGAGTAATATATAATGATAATGATAATGATAATGATGATAATTACAGTTAAGATAAAACTGATTTGAAATTTTTTTTGTAATTAGTTCGTCGTCGATCACGAAACTTGGTACATGGATCTCGAAAAATCAAATCAAATGAAAAAATCCGATTGGAAACTTTTATATTCCGCGAAAAAAGATTTCAAAATGGCGAATTTATATCCCGCAGACTGGAATAAAGTTTACAATGATATGAAGACTTCGAACGAAACCCTTCAATTGTTTCACAAGTAATTAATAATAATAATAATAATTCTTTTACAATTCGATCAATCAGTGATTGATTGATTGATATATTTATCATTGTGAAAAAAAATTCCATTTTCAGATTTTACTGGAACGATTCTCCAAAAAGGCCGGCATGTGGAAACGAATGCAAATTAGAAATGCTTTGCGAAGTTCGTTCGTGTGCTCAATACGGAGAACCGACGACTTTTTAATTAATAAACAAAACTTAAAACGATAATAATAATAATAATTATTATTATTATTATTAATAAATAAACGAATTTATCAAAATTTCCAGCATCGTTTTGTTTCTTTTTTTTTTTTCTCCAGCGCACAAAAAAATCCTATTATTAAAACAATTTATTAAAACATACGACAAAATAAAAAATTAGTCGTTTAAAAAGTTTTAATTAAAAAAAAAAAAGATTATTATTATTATTATTATTATTATTATTATTATTTTTCAAATTAATTTTTTTTCCTTTTTCTCCAGTAAAAAACAAAAAAAAAAAAAAAACAAAAATTCCAAAATAAAAAAAATGACTGGAAATTTGTTTACTTCTTCTTCTTTCCTCTCATCCCAAAACCAAAAAAAGTTTAGATGCCAAATAATAAAAAAAAAATTATATCGATGGTGTAAACACGAGCGTATATATATCGAAAATTTCGATATATCGAATCGATTAATCGAAGTGTGACAATGCGACAACTTAACGACTGTTTATAAATAATAATATTTTTGTTTTCAATTTCCATTTTTTTTACCATTTTCAGCCCTTTGAAAGATTAACTTTTGTGCTTTTAACAAAAATAAATTCCAGCACGATTCGGTGCTCATGATAAAACAAAACGCCTACTGGAGAAATTAATAATAATAATAATAAAAGTTTCCAGCTTGAAAAAAGTTAGAAAAAAAAATTTCAAAATGGTAAAATTCTTTCATTTTTTTTTTATAGTTTCATAGCGGGAAAACTTTGGAATTTTTCCTTACGCAAAATTCGTTTCATAAATTAATAATAATTCACTCTTGATAATAATAATGATAATGATAATGATAATAATAATAATTTCAAAAGTTCAATTTAAAATTTAAAAAAAAAAATTTATTAAAATGACGTCATACCACAAAATGTCTACAATGTGTTTAATTCATCCCGTACGACGTTTGTTATTGTTATTATTATTATTATTATTATCATTAAAGGAATGGAAACATAATTGAAGTTGTAAACATAATTGCTCTACATATTTTAAAATTCAAAACAAACAAAAATGTCGTCGTCGTCGTCGTCGTCGTCGTACAACAAACAAATTTATAGGAAAAAAAATTGATTATGCAGCAAAAAAAAAGTCGTTACCGGTAGTGTGAGGAGGTATTCATGTATGCCACAACAATCATTCCTACCACCCATAAAAAATGCCTGCGCGTAATCATTGTCAGCCAATAACGTTCCAGAAAATTCTGCCTTCAACATCTCCAACCGTCTTAATGCGGTTATATAACGATTATTGTTATTCCGTCTTCGCCATCGTCGCACATATCAAAGACATAATACGCTGTTATGGAAACGAAACGTCGCGACCTTGAATTTTCCATAGTATTCCAGTATAATAATAATAATAATAATAATAATAATAACCGTCGCGAATCTCTCGTTAATTATTAACGTGTAATTATTAATAAATCGATCGGAAGAGAGAGAGAAAAACTGCCAAGTTTCAAAGTTTTTTTAGTTAATTTTACGTGTTGTGTCGTCGGTTGTATTTGTGATTTTATTAAACGAAGTCGTTTGTCATAATCGGTTGTTTGTCTGTCTGTCTGTTTGTCTGTTTGTTTGTTTGTATAAGTGATGATCATGTATAAATTAATTTTATTTAATATTTTTCTCCTAGTTTTTACAATTCACGGTAAAAAAAATATTATCGAAATAACGTTAAAATGTCGATGACGACAGTTTTTTTAGTTTTTTTTTAAATTTTCTTTTTGTTATCGATTTTCCAGGTTTTCCAGTGGAAAATGATAATGATATTTGCGAACAATTTTTTTGGACCGTCGATGGAAATCATTACGACGGAGCAGTCTTTGGTGGCAGCAGTCTTTGCGGAACACAAAAAGAAAATCAACAACGATTATCAGAGGTTAGATTTTTTTTTTTTTACGATAAATTTCTGGAGAAAAAAATGGCCGTCAGAATATTAATAATAATAATAATAATAATAATTACTCGATGGCGGAAAATAATTTTTTTTTTTTTTTCGTCCTTCGTTTTGTTTTTTCTTTTTGTTTTTCCGGTAAACACAAAACAGGTTTTTCACACATCTAATTCCCATACTCAGGTACGAATTTTTTTGTTTTCGATTCTTCCCTTTCTTCCCTCCCTTCCCCTCCCCTTTTCCCCGCTCAAGTAAACTTTGGACTTTGCAAAAAACGTGAATAAATTCTTAATTCGATTTTCGATAAAAAATAAATAACCTGAAGCATTATTTAAAAAAAATTTTCCAGGTTTCGTTCGAACGACAAAGAAAAAGGAGAATGACGAAAAGAGATGGCGGCGGTGGTGGATCTTTTAAACTTTTAGATAATTCCGCTTTCGGCACTATCGGATCCCTCATGAACATCATAAATTCCGATTTAAATCTCAATATAAAAACAGATCCCGCAGTCGCTTGCAAAGCATGTAAAACAGGTACGACATACGAAACAAACGCAAACAAACGAATCCCCCCTTTCCTTATCGGCCATTTTTTTTTTAGGGATTCAAATGATGAAAGTTTTCATTAAGTTAACAAAATCAAATGATGAATTATTAAAATTAGCAACGAAATTATGTTCGGAATTGAAAATAATGACGGAAGAAGTTTGCGAGGGTTTGGTAGAAATAAACGGAGTAAGTAAAATATTTCGCTATAAAAACCTCTTTTTCTTTAAAAAAAAAAAAAAAACGCCCTTGAAATTATTTAACATTAATTTATTATTACCGGATTATTTGAAACAAATATACGCGATAAATGGCCTTGTCTTGCGCAAGTCTCATAATCACGACGACGACGACATAAGAATTTTTTTTTTTTTTTTTTCATTGTTTTCGTTTAAGCCTGCAATTATACACATTCTTAACACGACTAAATTGCCACCGATAGACGTTTGTAGTTTTCTCGTTAAAACGGATTGTAATAAAATTAAAAATAAAGAAAATCTTTGGCACGTGGATTATCCGAAAACAACGGAAAAACAAGGGAAACAATTATTTCCTCTTTCAAACCGGAAATTAATCGTGAGTTTTTCTTCCAATTTTTCTTTCCGTTTCGTAATAATCAATGGAATGATAAAATAATCATTATTATTATCATTAAAGCCAAATGCGCCTCAGTTAAAAGTTCTACACATATCGGACACACATTACGATCCGCATTATAAAGAAGGTACACCGGCAGAATGTTCTTTGCCGTTGTGTTGCAGGGATATGGTAGGACAAACGGGACCGAATGCGACAAAAGCCGGACGTTGGGGAGGTTGGAAATGCGACATACCGGAAAAAACTTTGGATAATCTTTTGGAACATATTAACAAGCAACATCCGGTACGTAAACAACAAAGACGACGACGTTAAAAAAAAATCTAATGAAAATCGTGACGGAAATAATAAAATTAATAATAATAATAATATTTCTTACCATAAGGATTTAGATTATGTTATATGGACGGGTGACGTACCACCTCACGATGCCTGGACTCTGAAAAGAAACGAAAGTTTGGATATATTAACAAAAACGATAAATAAAATGATGAAAACTTTTCAAAAAATTCCAATTTTTCCAGCTTTGGGAAATCACGAAGCCGTTCCAACTAATTTGTAAGTTTCCAATTTTCCCAATTTCTTTTTTTTAAAACAAAACAACTGGAAAACTGGAGAAGAAGAAGAAGAAAAAAAAACAAATAAAATTTATATGTCATAGCATAAAAAAAAAAAATCGTTAAAATTTGATGTTTGAATAATGTTTCTAACCAACTAAACAATAACAAACGAACAAACAAACAAACAAAATTTTTTATTATCCTAAACTATAATTTTTTTTTTTTGTAAAAGTTTACAAAGTTTAAAATTTTCATAATAATTTAATCTGGAATTTAATGTCGGACATTTTACAATCACGCATGCACGCACAAACAACAACAACAACAACAATAATAATAATAATGACGTCAATTCTTGTCGTTTTTTTTTCGGGGGGAGGGGGGAAATAATAACGAACGAGAAATTATTAAACTTTTTTTAATAATAATAATAATAATAATAAATTGACGTTTTTAAGATTTCCAACGACGAATTCAATTGATGATAAATGGAGCGTTGATTGGTTGTATGAAAAACTGGAAAACGACTGGAGTCACTGGCTCGGTAACGACACATCCGATACAATTAGAAAAGGAGGTTTTTACACGAAAAAAATCCGCGACGATCTTCGAATCGTTTCTTTGAACATGAATTTTTGCTATTATAACAATTGGTAATTCTTTTTCCAGTATCATAATTTATAATAATAATAATAAGACAATAATAATGATAACTCACGAGGTAATTAAATTGTTCAGGTGGCTGATACTCAACAACACGGATCCGATGGAAGAATTAAAATGGCTCGTTGACATTTTGGAAAAATCCGAGAAAAACGACGAAAAAGTTCACGTGATCGGTCACATTCCAGCCGGAAACGGTGATTGTTTAAAAATATGGCAAGATAATTATTATAAAATAATACGAAGGTGAGATGCACGTGCACACGCACACGCACGCACACGCACGCACACGCACACGCACACGCACCCTCCATTTTGTTTTAATTCGTTTGTTTTGTTAAGGTTTAACGACACGGTTGTCGCACAATTTTTCGGTCACACTCACACGGATGAATTTGAATTATTTTACGACGAAAAGGATTTTGATCATCCCGTGGGTATCGCATACGTCGGACCAAGCGTGACGACATACACGTACCTTAATCCCGGATATAGAATTTATTACGTCGACGGTGATCACGAATCAACGACGAGAGTACGTCCCTTTTGTTTTACTCCCCCCCCCTCCCTCCCTTCCCCAATATTATCATCATTATTATTATTAATTAAAATATTTTCAGTACGTCACGGATCACGAAACGTGGATAATGGATTTGGAAAAAGCAAACGAAGATGGCGGAGCGGAATCACCCGAATGGTACATGCTTTACTCCGCTAAAAAATCGTATAATATGACGTCATTAACGCCGCAAGATTGGCATGATTTTTTTGAAAAAATTATGACCGACGACGAAACCTGGGATTTATATTACAAGTAATTTTTTTTTTTAACTTTTAATTTAATTACTCATCCGACAGGTAATAAAAAAGTAATTTTTTTTTTTTTTCCAGGCATTATTGGAAGGATTCGAATAGAAGACCGGAATGCGATTCGGAATGTAAAAAAAAATTATTTTGCGATATAAAATCTTGTAATCAATACGGTCCCATCAAAATATGATGAAACGAGGTAATAAAAAAATAATATTATGGGGAGCCGGGGAGGGGGGGGGGGAAATTACAAAAAAAAATCACATTGGAAGGTACATATAAAACGATATATCGCGTAAGAGAAAAATTTTTTTATGTATGTAAACACGATCGTAGTGATTTTGTTATTAGTTACTAAGTTACGAAATAATAATAATAATAATAATAGTAATAATAATAATAATAATAATAATAATAATAATAATAATAATAATAATAATAAACAAAACAATAGAAAAAAAAATTTTATAAAAATAAATAAATTAATTTTTTGTTTTTTTTTGTTTTTTTGTTTTTTCGTTCCAAAACCTTCGAGAATAAAAAACCGCATAAATTATTTTTAATAATAATAATAATAATAATAATAATAATAATAATAATAATTTTTCGTATGTGAAAAATAAATACGAAAAAATTATTATGTAATGAAAAACTTTTACGGCGGCGAATTTAAAAAGGTACGTAAAAAATATATTATTTAATCACGTGTCGAGTGTGACGTAGTTTTTCCCCTCCTTCCCCTCCTTCCCCGACCTTCCTCCTCCAATTTCCCTCCCCTTATTATTAAAAGCCTGAAACCTTTTCTATATTTAAATTATATATAAGAATTTTTAATCGGAGTAACACTCACGCACACGCACACGCATATATATATACAATTCAAATTTATTATTATTATTTAAATTATTACGTAATAATTTTTTTTTTGGAATAAAAATTCAATTAATAATTAATTAATTAATAATTCAGAAAACAATTTTTTTTTTTTTATTCTTGGAATATTTATTAACTTTTTCAAACGAGAAAAGTTGTACGAAAAAAAAAAAATCCCTTTTTGAAAACGTAAGAAAAATAATTTTTTCATATAAAATTCATTCACAACGACATTCATTTAACGATTTTAAGGTCATTTTTATTATTATTACTTTCCTTGACTCTATTACAACAACGACGACGATACCGTATGCCATTTTTATTTATTTATTTATTTTTTTTATTTTCGTTGTCGTTCGTAACTCACCCGTCGTTTTATGTATTATTATTATCATTATCATTATTATTATTATTATTTATGTGTGTTGATATTTCTGACGCGCGCGTCGCGAATGAGTTTATATTATTATTATTAAAAATTAATTTCCGTTAATAATTATTACTGATAAGTTAGTTACGGGCCATTACATTTTGTTTACTAAAATAAAAATAAAAAAGAGGGAGGGAGGAAAATCAATGATTGATTGATTGATTGACTGATTGACTGACTGGCTGATCCATCGATCCATCGATCGATCTATCGAACGAACGACAGAACGAACGATTTTTTAAAAAATTTTTTTAGTTAAAATCCAAAGTTCGATTAATTAAAGTTCGATTTTAACTCGAGAGAAAATTTTAATAAATAAATAAATAAATAATAATAATAATAAATAAGTGAAATTATTTTGTAACGATTCGCAGGTAAATTTTTAAATTTCAATTTAAATTTAAATTTCAATTTAAATTTCAATTTTTTTTCCGAGTGTAAAATTAATAAATTAAACACGGGAAAAAAAAAAAAATTTCGAGAATTTAATAGAAAGTAATAGGTGCGGTTTTAACGATAATTCTAAAAATAAATAAATAAAATTTTACAGATATATAGAGTGCGCGCGAGTAGAAATAGAAAATTCTAGAAGAAAAATATAAAATTTTTAACAAACTCATTAATCGGATTTAATTACATATCCTAACAAAAAAAAAAAAAAAAAAATCGTTTCTATAAGAAATATTTGAAATTTTTTTAATTTTGTCGTCTGCTTTTTTTTTTTATTTCCAGTCATTATGAAAACTTTGAATTATCTACTACTATGGATTTTGGGCTCTTTTGAAATTTTCGCATCGGGTGAGTTATTATTATTATTATTATTATTATTCGGGGGGTGAACGTGCGTGAGTGCGTGAGTGAGTGCGTGCGTGAGTGCGGTTCCGTGCAAAAATATTTACGCATGATTAAATCCAATATTATTAATTAATTATAAGAAAAGAGTGGTGTGGGGGGGGGGTAAAATTTCCCTAAAAAAACTTTCGTGCGTACTCCGCGAGTTCGAATCCCGAAACGACGAAAAATTTTTTTTTCTCTTTTTTTTAAAAATAACGTGGAAGAAGTTTTGCAATGATTTAAAATTTAAAATCAACGAACCAGAATGAATTTAACTAAAAAAAAAAAAAAATGGCCGTGATTAACGATATCCACGACGACGACGTAATCGAATTTTTTTATTTTTTGTGCGGTTAAAAAAAATTTACTTCCACGTCGTGGATTTTAATTAAAATATTATTATTATTACTCATTTCATTTTTTTTGTATTTTCTAGGTTGGCCCATCGATGAAAATGGTAGAACATTATTAATCTCACATGAAGTCGTTTCGAATTTAAAAAGGAGAGTAAGTTTTCCTCTCCCCTTCTCCCCCCTTCCCCCTCATCTCCCCAACCCCCCAGTCCCTGGAGAAAAATAAAAAAAAAAAGGGACAAAGAATTTTCTCATCAGTTGTAAATAAATGAAAAAACAAAAAAAACGGAAATGATTTTGTTTCAGATGGAAGAATACGAACAAAAAAATCGTTGGTGGTTTTCTGGTGACACGTCAAACGTAACGTATTTTAAATTCGAAGGAGCAGCTAAATTGGGAGCTTTTAATTCGATTTATTGCAAAGGATGCGGCGCGGGTAAAAAAAAAAAAATTTTTTTTTGTTTGTTTTCCTTTCCCCACCCCCCACCCCAAAAAAAAAAAAAATAAAAAATTTTCTTTCTTCCCGTTTTTCGCAGGTATGGAAATATTACGTTATCGTGTTAAAACCGGAAAAGAAAATGTTCATTCTCTCATCGAAAGTACCTGTACGCTTTTTAACATTCAATCAAATTCCGTTTGTAGCGGAATCGCTAACCTTTTCGGAGTGAGTTTTCTTTCCCCCCCCCCATCATTTGTCGTTTGTTGAAGGTTTTTCATTAACAAAAAAAATAAATAAAAATTTTCAGCCGGAAATCTTACCTATTTTAAATTCGACGGTGAGCTCGTTTGTCATTTGTAGTTTTTTACTATCTCAAGAATGTACGAAAATCGAACTCCCTAATTGGAGTGTGCCACTTCCTCCTCATCCGGAGACCAGAATCGAAGATCTTCAACCGCCTCCCGTGAGTAATTTCTGAAAAAAAAACAACAGCAATTAGTAATAATAATAATAATTTATTTAAAAAACGTTTTTTTTTGGTAGTCACTCCGGAGGGATATTTTTTTTTAAATTTTTCCGAGGGGGCGCGTAAAGCGGGGGGGGGGTGCGAGTCGCTCGGATCAAAATTTTTTTTTTTTTTTGTTTTTTACGCATGCGCCAAAATTTTTCAACCGTGAATTCTCATTTTCAAACACTTAAATTCTCATTTTCGGCAGAGCAATGGACCCAAATATAAAATCCTTCACCTGACGGACACACATTTCGATACCGCATACGCTGAGGGTGCCAAAGCCGATTGTACGGAACCCCTTTGCTGTCGATTAGAACACGGTTTGGCGACGGAAACGGAAAAAAAAGCTGGAAAATTTGGTGATTGGAATTGCGACATACCGGAAATAACATTGGACAGTATGTTAAAACATGCTGCGACGAAAAATCCAGTGAGTTTTTTCTCGGTAAAATTATTTTTTTTTAACTCTTAAAAACTTTGTTTGTTTCTAACAACAGGATTTAAACTTTATATACTGGACGGGTGACATACCTGCACACGATATTTGGAAACAAACGAAAGAAGCAAATTTAGACGTTATGAGAAAAGTCGTTAAAAAAATCAAAGAACATTTTCCAAAAGTTACCGTTTACGCATCCGTTGGCAACCATGAGGCAGCACCGACCGATTTGTGAGAGATTTTCATTTCATTCGACAATTTTCCCTCTCTCTCTGTTTCCAACAGGAGTGATTCAAAACCACATTTTTTTCCAGTTTTCCTCCTCCGGGATCATCGAAATCCGTGTCTTGGTTATACGATGAACTAGACACGCAATGGAGAAATTGGTTACCATCGGATACATCCGCGACAATTAAATACGGAGGTTTTTACACCACCTTGATAAATCCTAAACTTCGAGTAATATCACTCAACACAAATTATTGTTACTTTCGTAATTGGCACGTATCGATAAACATTTATATTAACCCCCTTACGGAGTAACAACAAAAGAAATTTTTCAGGTGGTTGCTCCTCAACAGCACGGATCCCGGTGATCAACTTAAATGGCTCGTTGGCGTATTAACGATAGCTGAAACGAAAAACGAAAAAGTTCATATAATCGGTCACATAGCACCGGGACAAGTGGATTGCATACCAACTTGGAGAGATAATTATTATAAAATTGTATCGAGGTGATGTTATTAAATACAACAACAGCATTTCTAATAGATTGTTTAATTATTATTATTAATAATATTTTTTTTTTTTTCGAAAAGGTTTCAAAATACGATCGTTAATCATTTTTTCGGACACAGTCATAGAGATGAATACGAATTGTATTTCGATGAAGAAAATGTTAATAAACCCATCGGTGTTGGTTATTTGGCACCCAGCATGACGACATACACTAATTTAAATCCGGGTTATAGAGTCTATCATATAGACGGAGACAGAGTAAATTCAACATGGGTGAGTTAAAAGAAAAACGTTTGTTTACGTTTACGTTAATAAGAAGAGAGAGAGAGCGAGACAAACAAACAAACAAATTTACGTTAAAATGAAAAAAATTTAAAATTGTTTCTTTTCATTTCAGGCCGTAATTGATTACGAAAATTGGATTTTAGATTTACAACGTTCTAATAAAAACAAATCGGCCAAATGGGGTAAATCTTATTCGGCAAAGGATGAATACAAAATGAAATCTTTATCGCCCAAGGATTGGTATGATTTATATGAAAAAATGAAAAAAGACGAAAATCTTTTCAACCTTTACTACAGGTACTTACACCCCCACACTCGCACCCCCCGCACCCACATCCACGAATAATAATAATAATGATTACGTATATTACAGGCATTCGCATAAGGATTCACCCCAGATAAATCCTTCACAATGTGATAACAAGTGTAAACAAAATGTTTTATGCCGTATAAAATCATGTTTAAAATACAAGGATTGATTTTTTTAAAGTAAAAAGTTTTTTTTTCTTTTCTTCCCCCTCTCCCCCTCTACACC